TATCTGTATCTGTATCTGTATCTGTATCTGTATCTGTATCTGTATCTGTATCTCACATTATCTACTTATATCTATGCATATGTAGCTATTTATCGATATACATATGTATATACCATAGATCCATCATAGTTCTGCTCACAAGTGCTGCCTGCGTGTGTGTATTTGTTTGCCTGTATGCGCGCTCCAGTTGCCAGTTGGAATCAAAACATCACGAAATCTCGTTAAAAACCACAGCGCAAAGGCAAATACGAAATACAAATGTGTACCGTTAGCTTTGTTTTAACTGCGGGCAGAGCCAAAAACACAAAACAGAAAACCAAAAAACCAAAAAAACCTCAGTAAAACACAAAAAAAGGCAATAGACAAACAAAAGCAACAAACGACGGCATTGACCAGCCAAGTGGGCAGCAGTTGTTGTTGTTGTTGTTCTACTAGACCCGGTCAATTGAAGCGCTTTCAACCAGCTATTCATAATTTGCTACAATTAATTTGAGTACGAGTGTGTGTGTGTGTGTGTGGGGTGAACTGATTGAAGTACTTGACAAACTGCAGCGCAGGTGGATGGACAATGATTGCAACAACAACAGCAGCAGCAACAGCAACAATATACAGCAGCATTTTGACCTTCGCCTGACAGCCTAACGAAATGCAGCTCAAGTGCTAAAAAAAAACTTAAACTTCACAGCCAAACACTTAAACACGAAGTTCGTTGGCTGTCTGCCATTTGAATGACGTGCCACAGCAGCAGCAGCAGCAGCAGCAGCAGCAACAGCAGCAGTAACAATAGCGTGCAATTACAGCACCAGCAACAACAACAACAGCAACAACAACAATTGGTGTCAAATGCTACCGTAACACGCCACAAAGCAAAACTGCTGCCAGAATTTATTGGCGCTACTTGAGAAATTAGCTAAAAAGCTGTATTAAATTAGATGAAGTGGGAGGAGGCGGCGAGCGTATGCGACTGAGTAATGCTCGTTTGCTGTCGAGAAATAATTGAATAAATATTTGAGAGAACCTAGTTATAGGTATTTAAATGCTATCTATATATATAAATTTAGCTATCTTCAGATTTTTCCTACCAGAGTATCAATCTATCAATACGTTTATATATCAAGACATAAATTCATTTAATTATATATTAATACATAAATTCATTCATCTATGTTTTAAGATATAAATTAATCAAATTATCAATATATTTTTCAATCTATCAATATATCAATTTATTAATCTATATAACCCGCAATTCATCAGACAAAACTTTACATGATTTAGAATATGGGTCAAGAAGAATATATATTATTATTATGTTTATTAATATATTTATTTTATTATTATTCAATTTCTGTATGTTTCATATACAAATCATATCAAACTAAGCTCAAGTTTGCATATCTTAAGCTTCAACAGTCAAACAGCCCAAAGCCAATATACCCGCTCTTTGCATCGCAGCCCGAACGAGCATAACGTCAAAAAAAAGAGCTACATAAATAATTATGAAGCCAACTAATTTCACTTTACAGCATTAGAGTGAAATGTCGCCGCAGACAGCGCAATTTGCAACCGTTTGCTGCCGGAAAAAAAGAAACGAAAAATAAAATGTGAAGAAAAAAAAATTAAAAAGAAAGATAAAACTGTTGTTGGTAGAAACATTCAACGAATCCGCAGCCGCCCACGCAGCAGCACCATAAATAAGCCAGCATCAGCATCAACATCAGCGAATCGCTTAGCGGCAGCAGCGGCAGCAGCAGCAGCAGTTGGTAATAAATTTGAGTCGCGTGGGCCATGGCCCGAACAGCCCGTCGTGCGACAAATGTCAGCGGCAAATGAGGACACGCCCCGAAACAGAGGAAATATAAAACCGAAATTAAAGTGCGTCATCAAGCAGGAAGAGCTAGAAGACACTACACAGCCACACTACAGAGTTTAGGCCGCCCGTTTATGACTCAACTCAAGAAAAAACTATTAAAGAAAAGTGTGCGCATATACATTTCTATTTTATAAACTGTTTATGATCACAGAACTAGGCCTCATTAACATACGTGACAGCCAAACACACACACACACATGCAGAGCGGACGCCATTAAGCTAAGGCGTTTAGCACTTGGCTTTGGCTTTGGCTTCGGCTTTGGCTGCTGCTTGCCAATGAATTGACACATTTGGCACAGGCTCAAGCGAAATTTTGTGGCACTTATGCAGACACTAATATATCTATATACATATATCTATCTATATATATTTTTAGTCATGGCAATACATCGTAGCTGACAGCAAATTGCAGATGTGACCAAAATTGCGGTCTGCACAACTAAGTGCTGTACTTTAGATGTAGTACAGCAAACACACACACACACACATACACATATGCATATATATATATATGTAAATATATCAGTGGTTATACATAGCCCTATGTCAACTGCAAGTCACAATAACCAACGGCATAAATCTATTGTGAACTGACACATGAAGCCAAGCACTATAAATGCGGAAGTTCTATATTATAGCCATGTGTATATTTGGGAATTGAAATATGTACATGTGTGCATGTGTGTGTGTGTGTGTGCTTGGCAATTTACAGCTGCTTGAAGTTATAGAATTTCTGGCGCTGAAATATGAATAAGTAAACAAGTCAGTCTTAAGGCATAGACACACATATCCATATACACATACATACATATATGTATGTATGTATATGTGTAATGAGTTAAGCATAAAAGCCAAATAATTGCAATTGCTACATTTCACTCGAATGCCAACTTCAATCAATTTTCTATAAATGTTTGCCATGGAGTAGCTATAGAAAATTAACATATTTGCTTGTATTACATAAAGGAAATTAATTTGACAATTTTCTATAAATATCATAGACTATCTACAGCAAATTAAGCACATTTGCATGTTTGCATATGCTTCTATGAATTTGTTGATGTGAGTTTTAATAAATATGAGATTATTATTGATTAAGTCGAGTTAAGTCTTATGGGTTCAAGACTATGAAAAGACTAAGAGAAAGTAAGTAAGAATAGTTCCAATTAAACATACATAAATCTATTTCTATTCCTCTTTTAAATATTCTGTTAAATATGAAACTATTTTCACTCCAATATATAACTTAAATTTCAACTCTAGTCAAAATTAAGCACCATTTGAAAATGGCAACAATAGCTCGACTCAGTTACTAGACTTCATAAAAGCTGAATGTAGTAGCCTCAGTTCAACTTGCATTTCGCTTATTTATGGCACAGCTTCTGTTTTTTGTTTGTTGTGCACACATTCACTGCACAGTTAAAAGATTCTCTAGCTGCATACCGAAATGACAAACTGCCAGCCGAGCTGATTTATGACCAGAGTCAACGGCAGTTAAGCTCAGCTCATGTGCATGTATATATATATAATATATATGTATTTAAATAGCTATTCAAGCATAGGTAAATAATTTCCAGCTTACCCGTAAAAACTGCAAGGCTTGACTTCTTCTCAGCTGGTAGCTAAAATGGCAAAAACAAATAAATATATAAATAGAATTTATTAGTAATTTGTGCTAAAACAAAACACTAAAAGATGCACTTAAAATTTATTTAAATATATGCATATATATATATGTATATATTTGCATTCTTAGGCTTTAAAATTATGCACAATTTGTCACGTCAGTTGTTGACTTAAACTATCACTCGATGCTGATCTATGAGCTATTTCGAGCACAACACACACACACACACACACTTGCTATGACAAATCTGTGTTGCTGGCAAACGCTCAAATTAGACTCAAAATCATGTATGTACAAGCAACTGCAACAACAACAACAACAGCAGCAACACGTACTACGATTCGCTTGTTAACTCATCCAAAAAGTAAACCACATTCTTTGGAGCATTTGAAAAAGCAGTAGAAGAGCAGCCACAGCAGTAGATAGCAAAAAAAACACCGCAACATGCAAGGCATAAAAAAAACACACAGCAACAACAACAGCAACAACAACAACAGCAACACAAAAAACACGTTCAGCGCGTGTAGCAGCAGCAGCAGCAGCAAGAGGCAAAAAACATGAGCCAGCCAGGGCGGCATCGGCCACGGGGTAGGCGTGGCATGGCTTTAACTTTTTAGCAAAATGCAAAACAACATCGGAAAGACGAGAAATCTGGCTACTGTAATTTGTCTGGCCCCGCGCCATAGACCACATGGACACAACATAGACACGCGCTCTCTCAGTTGTTGTTGCCCAGCCGATTTCAATTCCGTTGTCCAAGTGCTGCGACTACAAGTTTGCAATGCAATGCAGCCACTCGGCAATTGCTGCTCCACTTTTCAGTGTGTGTGTGTGTGTGTGTGTGTGTCTGAGTGTGTTTGTCGTCTCTAGTTTGTGCGCCTGGCTGTCTCCAACTATTTCGGCTAAGCATAAAAAAAAAAATAAAGATAAAAAAATAAAAAATAAAACGAACATCTAACAGCAACCGAGTCGCCGCCTTTGTCGCTGAGGTCAATTTTTATGTTGCAGCCATTTTTCACAAAAAAAAAAAAAGCCAAGAAATAAACAAATATAAAGAAAAGAAAAAACTTCGTTTCGTTAGTTTCGTTCGTTGGGCCTCTTTGTATGCCCTGCAGCGTGCTGCAAATGTGTGTGCGTGTAAACGGGGTATATTGATTTCATTCGCGGGGTATGTAACAACTAGCAATAAAATTTGATATGTTCCTTGCCTAGGAGAAGAAAATGAGAAGGGAATAAGAACTGCTATGGCAGACCTATATAACGATAGCTAGGTCTATCTTTCTGTCTGGCTGCATTTCTCGATGTAGCCTCCTTCTAGTGCTTGCCCGCCAGAAATCAATAATTAATTAGTGGATTATGAAAACTCCTTATAAATGTATAGAGTTCCATATAGCTATAAATGTAAAGAGTTATACATATATAGCTAATTTAGAGTTCAACCTCAGCTCAGGTATTTTCTAGTCTAGCACTTCCACTTTACTAGCTCTATATATATTTTTTTATTTCATTTTTTCGGGGTAGACCACATTTTTTATTCCGTCTGGCGCACTTATAACTTACGTATAAGTGCCATGTGTACATGTGTGTGTGTGTGAGTGTATGTGTGGCTATGTGTGTGGGCTTTTGCTGCAGTCAACTTTTTGGCTGGCCTCTTGGCTGGCAAACACTTCCATTTCAACTTCAGCTACAACTACAACAACTACAACTATAACAACTACAAAACTCTGCCTCAATTGCTTGACACTTCAGTTTGTAATTAGTTTTGTGGCCATGCATGAAAATTTCATTTAGTTTTTAATAGCCCCATGAACAATGGCCACGTGCTCAAATGTTGTTTCTATCAACATGCTTAGGACTTGGCCAGCAGAACAGGAAATGCAATTGGCCACAAAATTATGAGCAATAGCTCCAAGTTGAATAACATATGAACTCATCGAACGAAAGTTCGCAACTAATTTGCATTACATATAATAATAGAGAGAGCGAGAGAGAGAGAGAGTTGCCTAAAACTTAAATTGGCCCATTAATTTGTCAAATATCTTGAGCTATTAAATTACATTACGAAAGTACAAAAAAAAAACTTTAATTAGATTTTAGTTTTATGGAATTTTTCTTAAGGTTCAAACAAAGTTCGTCTCCAAGTTTCTCTTTGGTTTATAATAAATTGAATATAAATTTCTTTACAATGGAAAATGTAACTAAAACAAAAGAAATTACAATTAAATTTCCAATTAACAATAAATGCATTTGATCATTAATGCCTTAACCATTAGAAAAAAAAATCTTTTAACTATATGCAAGCTGAGTTCTAGCCGAGTTCTAGCTGAGTTTTTATTCCATATTTATTTTAGCTCTTATAGCTATATTTTAGCTCTTAAAAGCCAAATTTGTATAGCCTTAAATTATTGAATATCTACAAAATGTTGTGTTATATTTTAGCTATATATATATATTATATTTGAATTTTCTAGTTATTTTAGATATTTTTTGCTTATATAGCAAGGGGTTTTTTTTAAACTCTATTGCAGTTTCATTTCAAATCCGTATATACATCATATACATATATGATATATTTTTCCTATATAATCTACATATAATCAAGCTGACTTTTACTCTATATTCCAATTAAATTTTAGTCATATTTTTACAATCAAATATATACTATTTATATATATCATATACCAGCTATATTATCTACATATAGTCAAGAAAAGTTTTACTCTATATTTCACTTACATTTTAGTTATATTCTTTCACTAATATTCAGATATATTCTACTTGTAATACATATTCAATTCTAGCTCTGTCTTTAAACTGCATTCAAGCTAAATTCTAGCTCATCTTTTAATTTTGTTTCCCCTCCTCAGCTCTACCTTGTCTAGCTGCATTCTATGTAAACTGCAGCTAAATTCTTGCTGCATTTCAATATAGTTTATTGCTTTAGTTTGCTTTTGTTATTTAAATTCCATGCTCAAATTCCTTTGTGTAGAACTTCAATGCACTTGAGAATAAATTAAATAAAGTTTTTCCCCCAGCTGCTGCTGCTGCTCCCCCTATAAAATATCAAACTAATGACATTATTTACATGCAACCTTGAACTATTGTTTGATAAAAAGCAAGCCGAAAATTTTGTGCATGTGCATGCACAACAAGCCTTGGCACACACACGCACACACACTCACACAGACACTCGATGATACACTCAATTGTTACAATAAATTGCTTCTGCTTGTGAATCCTGATTCTCCCTTGGCACTTTCAAGTGTCTGCCAATCAAGGCAAATCAAGTTGAAATTATTGACAATAACAATAATGGCAAATAATAATCAGCTGTTGCTGTTGTTGCTGTTGCTTTTTTGCATGTGGCATGCAACATTGCAACGTTGTCTGCCAAGGGCTAAACAACGCCAGCAACTTGCTAAGAAGAAAAGTGAAAATTCTTGTTGTCTGCCTTTCCAAGTGAAACTGACAGAAACAGAGGCACGGCACGGCAAGGCAGAGCAGGGTGGGGCTGGGTGGGGCTGGGTGGGGCAGGGTGGTGCAAAGCAAAGGCACGGCAAGGCAGGTGAAATAAATTTTGGTATCAGATACTTTTACTTGCCATTAAGCAGGGCTATTCATATATGCCACACGAAGTAGCTGCGACTGCAGCTAGTGTTTGCTCATTTTCTCATATTTTTTCATAAATTCTCTATGAGTGTATGTGTATGTGTGTGTGTGTGTGCTTGTGTTGCATTACATTTGATTACAAACTGTGCAGCCGACATGTGCCACTTTTTGTGTTGCAGTTGAAAGTAAAATGAAATATAAAACAACAACAACAACAACAACAGCAGCAGCAGCAGCAAATGGCAACTGGAACTGAGCATGCAGCATGTGGCATGTGGCATGAGTAGCATAAATATACGTATGTAAACCTAAAAAACCTATGAGAAATGCATGTAAATTTACTAACAACAACTAGAACACAGCAGCAACAGCAACAACAACAACAACTGTTGCATGTTGTTAACTTTCAAAGGCATCGAAAATGCTTTTGTACCAGCAAAAATATGAAAAGTTTAAATACACAGGTAATTACCTGAGCACAGCGTGCAGCCAGCTGAGGTGCTGCTGCTGCTGCTGTTGCTGCTGCTACCTGCATTTACGTCCATAAAAAACAACAACAACAACAGCCACAGCTGACAGTCAAAAGCGAAAAGCTGCTCAAAAACCGTAGGAAAAACGGCAAACACAAAAACAAATCAAATAAATGCTGAAGTAGTTCTAATTAAATTCAACAGACATAATATTGTGGTAGTTGGTAATAGAGTGAGTGAGAGAGAGAGAGAGAGAGAGGAAGAGATTTATGTGAGCGAAAGCAAGAGAGAGCGTATCAAGTCAAAGTCTTTGGCAAACACTCTTCAAGTGTTTTTATCCCTTTACTTTGTGGCATTGCGTGAAAAGATTGCAATGTCTGCGCGATTTTGGGCATATGCGACTGTCTGAATACACTACATTTTACATACCTTAATTAAATATTTAATATAGAACTAGTAAATACCATTTTATAGTATATGATGGTTATCATATGATTATAGATAATGTTATATACTAACTTAATAATATAGAGAAATTTAAAATAATTTAACTTAGTAAAATATAATATAATACTATATTAATTAAATTAATGGGACAAAATAATATCTCTTTATTTAGTTATTTAATTTCTCAAAGAATTTATTCTAAATAAAAATTTAGTTTAAAGCCTTCAGGCAGATTATATTATAATAATATAATATAAAAAATAATATAATACAAATTATTGTAATTTTCAGCATTAGTTGTCGATAGATTTGAGCATGTATGACTATTGGTAATTCATTATTATTTATTATAAATTATTTGATAGATTAAAGATAACCAGCTAGCATAAACTAACACCAAGCTGTAATTCTCTATATAACAGAATTTATTATTCATTTGTTTTCTAATTTAATTTTAGTATAATAGCAA